TTTTTTAAGAATAGAATTATTTATTTTTGGCTGTGCTGGGTCTTCGATGCTGCATGCAAGCTTTCTCTAGTTGCGGTGTGCAGGCTTCTCAATGCAGTGGCTTCTCTTGTTGCCGAGCGTGGGCCCCAGGTGCACACGTCCAGTAGTTGCGGGGCACGGGCCTAGCAGCTCCCTGGCATGCAGATTCTTCCCGGACCAAGGATTGAACCCCTGCATTGGCATGTGGGCTCCCATCCACTGCACCACCAGGCAAGTCCCAAGTACCCCTTGTCTGTCGCTGCTTCTGTGCCCCATGACAGAGCTGAGTATTTGTGGCAGAGATCATAATAGTTCATTCAGCGTGAGACATTTATTATCTGATCCTTTACAGAAAAAATTGCTGACTGATGGTTTTAAGGAAAGACTAATTACTTCACTATCATGAAACCTTTCTTTTTTTGGAGATTATAGGCTGCATACATCAGATAGCAGTGGAGAGCTAACTTTAAAGTATTGATAAAAATGTCTTTTAAACCATTCTCTAAATGCTGCACAGAAATTTTAAAAATGTCTGTTTAATTTTAAAATTTTTAAAAAGTGTTTAATGTTTTAATTTATAAAACCCTAGACTTATCCTAGACATGGCAGAATCATGGGAATGGGTATTTTTAAAAGGCATGAACCCAAAATGAGGAAGTTTGGGAAATACTAGCCTGGTATATACCAAGTCTTCCCAAGATGCCTATTTAATTGTATCAAGAAATTGAAATCGCATTAACTGTGACAACAGTCTGTACCATGAGCTGCCGTGTGTATTATAGACCACAATTTGGAAGCACATCAAGGGTTTGTTATTTGAAAATCTCCTTGATTTCCATTAAAAATAACTTTCCAGGACTTTCCTGGTGGTACAGTGGGTAAGAATCCGCCTGCCAACGCAGGGGATACAGTTTTGGTCCCTGGTCCTCGATCCCTGGCCCGGGAGGATCCCACATGCCTTGGGGCAATTAAGTTCACATGCCACAACTACTGAGCCCATGTGCCTAGAGCCTGGGCTCCATAACAAGAGAAGGCACTGCAATGAGAAGCCCGTGCACCACACTCAGTAACACCCGCTCGCTGCAACTGGTGAAAGCCCTCAACAGCAACGGAGACCCAGCCCAACCAAAAAGTAAATACACAGAAAACCTTAAAAAAATAACTTTCCATGTAACAATAAAAACCCATTTACCGCTGAAAAGCAGAAAATAAAAATTATACATGTTGCTCCTAGCCAGAGACATACTGCTAATCTGTTAATATTTTGAGGTACACACCCTATCCTTTCTGGATTGAATTAGTATAATTCTATTGAATTCTTAAAATACCATGTGGTTATTTTGGGTTACAGTTGTGGGAAGGGATTTCACTTGGGTTTCAGATTTGTTACCCTCTTGGAAGTGTTTAGATAAAGAGCCAAGAAATACACCAGTGCTCCCATGGGAACAGAAGAACTGGTGAATATGATTATTTTAAATTGGGCTTGGACAGAGCACATTTAGAATATTGAGATGCAGTCTTTTCTTTCCTCTATTGTGGTTGCCATCATCCTTTAATGACGTCTCTTGCTTTGCATTTCTTTACCCACTGGGCGTCATCACACCGCTGCTAATGTCAGGAGAATGCAGCAGCCCACACCATGGGTGGTCCCCAGGACTGCTGTAAAGATGCTGGAGAATTCTCTGTATAAAAGCCTACATCTGCCAGGTGCTTTTGACAACATCATGAGAGGTGATGTTTCTGTTGTGTCTAGTCTAATAACTGCCTTTTCTTTCTCTGGTTGGCTCGCCAAGGGCTTTGATGATCAGGGCAGAGGAAGAAGATGCTACCTCCTTCTGGGTCCTTCCATCCTGAAGGGTCAGTTTCACTGGATTCCAGATGCCTCCAGTTACTGATTCCCTTGGCCACATCCTTGCCGCCACCAGTTTTTCCTGAAGGCACACCCAGGAGCTTATTTGGGAGCCAGGGCAGAATTGGTATCCACTTCCTCATCAGCACACACAGGATCTACAAACTTCAGTTTCCTTGAGGTTGAATTTAGGTGTCACGGTAAAGATGGTGTCGGGGAACATAGATGCTAGACCATGAAGAAGGGTATCCTTCGTCTCCTTCAGACCCAAAGTTGAGAGTCAGACATTGTTATTTGCTGTTTGTTTTTGGCTGCGCTGGTTGCTGCTCACGGACTTTCTCTAGTTGAGGTGAGCGGCGGCGACTCTTGTTTTGGTGTGTGGGCTTCGCGGTGAGGTGGCTTCTTTCATTCCAGCCTCGAGGTGTGCGGGCTCAGTAGTTGTGGCCCACAGGTCTTGATCGCTGGCTCAGCAGTTGTGATGCACAAGCTTAGCTGCCTTGCAACCTGTGGGATCTTCCAGGACCAGGGATCGAGTATGTGTCCCTTGCATTGGCAGGTGGTTCCTTCACCAGTGGACCACCAAGGACATTCAAGAGTCAGGCTCTGTTCACAAAACTACCCAATCTGATCTTCCATACAGAGTGCCTCCCAGTACAGTGGAAGTAGCGTAGGGATCGAATCCAGGTTTGCTGCACTGCAGGCAGATTCTTTACCAGGGAAGCCCCCAAATGAGAAAACCCGAATCTTTTCTGGGTCGCTATTCCATGATCATCATTTCTCCTTGAACCTGTTACTTAAATCATCTGAGTCTCAGTGTGCTCATCCATTACATAGAGATGACAGTATCAACCATGTTTATTTCACAGGATTATTGGCAAGATGAAGATGAACCTCTTTTGGATAAGCTGCTGCTGCTGCTGCTAAGTCACTTCAGTCGTGGCCGACTCTGTGCGACCCCACAGACCGCAGCCCTCCAGTCTCCCCCGTCCCTGGGAATCTCCAGGCAAGAACACTGGAGTGGGTTGCCATTTCCTTCTCCAATGCATGAAAGTGACAAGTGAAAGTGAAGTTGCTCAGTTTTGTCCAACTCGTAGTGACTCCATGGACTGCAGCCCACCAGGCTCCTCCGTCCATGGGATTTTCTAGGCAAGAGTACTGGAGTGGCTTGCTATTGCCTTCTCTGCTTTTGGATAAGACTCTTTGATAAATTTTAATGCAATAGATAAATGATGTTATTAACCATAAAGTAACATCAAACACAAAATTTCTGGAAAGATTTGCCATTAGAAATGCAAATAGGCATATATATATGAATGCTTTTAATCTGTTTGAATCTATACCTCTTATTACTGTTTATGGACTTCCAAGGTGGTGCAGTGGTAAGGAAGCTGCCTGCCAGCACAGGAGATGTGGGTGTGATCTCTGGGTTGGGAAGATCCCCCTGGAGGAGGACATGACAATCCACAGAGGAGCCCGGTGAGCTACAATCCATGGGGTCACAAAAAGTCAGACAATTGAGCATACACACACACACACATACACACACACACTGTATGTAGCATAGCAAATTAGCCTTTTATTCATTAGAGCAAGGAAACTTGCTATAGCCTTTTACTTATTTATTTAGCATTTCTTTTTGAGCAATTTAAAGTTTACAGGGAAAAATGAGTGAAAATCATGCAGTTCCCATCTATCTCCTCCCTCCACTTCTCCCCTAATTTCCCTAATTCTTAACATCTTGCATTAGTATGGTACATTTGTTACAATTGATGAGTCCATATAGACACATTATTATTAACCAAAGTCTGTAGTTTGTAACTGTTGGTGTTGTACATTTTATGGGTTGGGACAAATGTATAATGACATAAATCCATCATTAGAGTGTCATACAGAATAGTCTCACTGCCCTAAAAACCCCACATGCCATCTATTTATCCCCTACTCCCTCTCCACCCCTCGTCCCCTCTCCCCAAACACTTGGCGACTACTGGTCTTTGTACTGTCTCCATAATTGTGCCTTTTCCAGAATGTCATATAGTTGGAATCATACAGTATGTAGTCTTTTCAGATTGGCCTCTCTCACTTAAAAATACACCCTTAAGTTTCCTCCATGTCTTTTTGTGGCTTGATAACATTTCTTATTATCACTGACTAATATTTCATTGTGCGGCTATACAACAGTTTGTTAGCTATTCACCTATGAAAGGATGTGTTGTTTGCCTCCAAGGTTTGGCAATCATGAATGAAGCTGCTGTAAACATCTGTGTGTAAGTGTTTGTGTGGTCACGAGTTTTCAGTTCCTTTGGGTAAATACCAAGGAGTGTGACTGCTGGATCATATGCTAAGAATATGTTCAGTTTTGTAGAAAACTACCAAACCAAACTTTGTCTTCCTAAGTGGACACACCATTTTTCACCCTTGCCAGTATTTGGTGTTGTCATTGTGTTTGGATTCTGGCCATTCTAATAGCATATCTAATAGGGTATCTCATTTTGCTTTAATTTGCAACTTCCTAATGACATGTGGTATTCAGCATCTTTTCATGATTATTTGCTGTCTGTATATCTTTGTTTGTGAGATGTCTATTCAGAGCTTTTGCCCACTGGATTGTTTTCCTGTTGCTGAGTTGGATATCGGCCTAGTATGTATTTTGCAAAGATTTTCTCCCAGTCTGTACATCCTCTCTTTTTTATTTATTTGCGATTGGAGGGTAATTGCTTTACACCATTATGTTGGTTTCTGCCATACATCAGCATGAATCAGCCACAGGTATACATGTGCCCCCTCCCTCTCGAACCTTCCTCCCACCCATCCCACCCCTCTAGGTTGTCCCAGAGCCCAGGTTGAGCTTTTTGTGTTATATAGCACATTCCCACTGGCTCTCTATTTTGCATATGGTAATGAAATGTTTCCACATTCCTCTCTCAATTTGTCCCATCCTCTCCTTCCCCCACTGTGTCTTCATCTCTATTGCTGCCCTGCAAATTGGTTCATCAGTACCATCTTTCTAGATTCCATATATACGTGTTCATATACAATATTTGTTTTGGTGCATCCTCCTAATATTTGTTTATCTTTCATTATTTAAACTCCAACATCCAATTCTTCTGAAGTACTTCTGACCTCCAGGTTGATGGCTGTTAAAAAGTTTGGACAGTTTGAACTCTCCCGGCCTGTTTACCGTCGACTCTCATTGCGCGGTCAGTTGCATCGTAGATGGGATCAAGTCATCAAGCCCAACAGCAGCTCCACCGCAGCCCTCACGTTCTTCCGCGGAATCATCGCTCTATCATCTCCTCCGAGTCGGCCGGTGGCCGGTCCAAGTTGGCCGGGTCGCGGGGAGCCGATTGGAGCGGCCGAAACATTTTTGCTGACTGCAGTCATGCTCTCCCGGCCCGTTTGCTGGAATAGACACAGACACGGATTGGGTCACGCTGAAGACATTCCTGTCTTGTGAAGCAAGTCTGTTTGTATTTTAGGTTTGCCAGGACTAATGAATTAAAACATTTGGACGCTCCGCAACTTGCTGTTTATCAATGCCTCTTGACAGGAGGAGGGTTTTTCTTTTGCGCTTGCTTTTTCTAGAAGCATGACAACATCCTGGCTGCGGGAGAGGCAGGGAAAGGAGAGAGGGGTCGTGGAGGGAAGCGGACCAGGGGGAGGCCCCGCGGGACGCCGGGGTCTGGGGGACGGCAGGTAGCAGCGAGCCGCCCTCCCAGCTGTCCCCGCTGCTCAGATTGTCAGGCTGCTATGCGGCAGGTGCAGCCTGCCCTGCCTCCAGGCCTCTCCTCCACAAAGGCAGCGACCGGCCAAGGCAGCGGCTGGCCCTGGATTACTCGAGTCCAGACACTCGGCTAAGTGAGGTAAGGCGACAGGTGTGAAAGGCCAGCGAAACGCTCAGAGCACCAGCAACTTCACCAAAGCTCTGCTACCGCCCCGAGGAGGAATCAGCCCGTTTCCCCCAGGCGGTGTGATGAAAAGGCAAGTGGGTGCAGGGGCTGACACCGTGTGGAACTCCAGATCCACCCAACGTTGCCGCCCGCCATCCTTTGGGAGGCAGACAGATGTTCTCCGTCGTGTGGAGGGGAGGGGCTCTCGTTAGCTGTGTTGATCAATTACCCCCCACCCCCACCCCTGGGCTGGAAACCCTGCCAGGGATCTATCTACAAAACCCCCGGAGGCACATTTCCACCCCTTGTGGTTTATGCCTTGGTGCAGGAAAGCACTGGGAGATTTAGCCAAAGGAGGAGTGAAGCTTTTCACCCTCAGATGTTCCGATAAAATGGTTTGGTGATGGTACAGGGTGTGATGATAAGACTTTTTCTTTTGGCTGCAACTTTAAGGGGATTTTTATTGTTTGTTTTGTTTAATTTGAGACAGTCTGTTCTATTCCCTAGGAACAGGTGGCTAACGAGATGGTTGATTCTAACCAGACGAGACTACACACAAATGTATGTCAGAGCTAAGATAAAGCAAATTTTGAGTCAAGTAACAGTGATTTTATATTACCCTTTTCTTGAGTCGAATGTTTCATGTTAATACTTTTTTCTAACTTAGAATGACATGACTTGGAGTGCTTTATGGTTCAGTGCTACTTGGAGTGTTAAATGAATGGGCCAACTATGATTCTAACTGGGTGATAAACAGTTGCTGGTTTTTCTCCAAAGCTATACTAGGTGTTTAATATAAGCTTGTTGTCTTTTCATGTACTGGGTAAGATGATTCCATATGTATGTATGTCTAAATATACATATATCTATATATGCATTTGCTTTGAATCTATAAATAATTGTAAAAACAAAATTTGGTTTTCTAGAACACTATTTTTAGATAGAGAAAAGTTATGGGAAAGAATCAGAAACCTTGCTGTGAGAAAATGCCCTACTACAGCAGTTCCCAGAATCTCACTAAGGATGGGTAAATAGATGATTTGTATTTTGCCATTTTTAGAAACATTTTCCTTAAAATATCATTTGGAGTTTTTGGTTTACTGTCTCCATGAGAAGGAAAATAGAGGGCTTAGGGGGATGCTTGATTAAAAATAGAGATGTTAAATATATGGGTTTAAATGACAAGGATATTGTGTATTTATAATAACATCTTTTCCTAGTTCCATTGAATAAAAACAATCAAATATCTTTGTTAAAATGTATTTGGGCTAAATTCTCTTATTTTAACAAAGAAATAGTCATATATTTTCACCCACCCCAACCCATCTTATCTGTAGTATGTTTTTCCATTCATTTCTATCTTAGTTTATTAATTCAATGATAATTTAGTAGGTGGGGTGGGGTATGCATAGGATGTTTTAGGATTTGTCTTTTGCTTATATTTTATGTTGTCTTTTGCTTTTATCATATCTACTTTAGAAATGTTTGATAGACTTATAGGTAGTTAATCAGATATTTAAAGCATATACTATTCATAATATAACGGGGGAATGTCTTTAAGTAGTCTTTAGTAGTAGTCACTGAAATAATTCCATGATACGATACTCATTTCTTACCACTCCCAGATCAATAATTCAGATCCAGTTTAGGCTTCTGAGTGTGAAGAGCTGTCTGATGCCTTCTTAAGATTCTTTATCCCCCTCAAAAATAAAGCACTATGTAAAACTTCAAAGGGCCAGGGCTGGACAGGTCAGTGTAGGGGATATTAAAAAAAGTGAGGTGGGTGGAGGTTTTGCTCCATCCTATAAATCTCATTCTAGATGTATTTCCAAAGCAAATTTTTTTTTATAAGCCAGAAAAAGAATTTTAAATGCAGCAGGTGTAGGGAAAGGAAGCTAGGAGCTAGAAACAGCTTTAAAATAAGAAAACATTGTTTACTAATTTTCTTTTCTAATTTCCAAAGGGCTCTGGGACGATGTTGGATAAAGTGACCATGGGTCTCTCTTGTCCTTGCAGCTGGAAGACCCAGAGGAAGGCCAAGGCTCAGGTGCCCACATGATCAGCACAGCCAGGGTACCTGCTGATAAGCCAGTACGCATCGCCTTCAGCCTCGACAATGCCGCAGGTATGCTCTGCTCTGAGGAAAAGCGCCCCCCTACCACCACCCCGCCTGCTGCCTTCTTACCATCATCTTTTCCACGAAGCATATTTAAAAATCATGCCTGGGGAGTTCCCTGGCAGTCCAGTGGTTAGGACTCTGCACCCCCTGTGCAGGGGCCACGGGTTCGATCCTTGGTCAGGGAACTAAGATCTTGCATGCTGCATGACCTAAAAAACAGCATGCCTGGAATGACCCAGTGATGGGGAATGTGATTTTTTTTTTTCACGCCGTGTTGAAGTGTGGCTTCCAGAAATCCCTCTGGTGATGTGTCCACCTCCAAACCTTGGGTGGTTCGAGTGAATTTCTTTTTCACTTTCTCCATTTTCGCTTTCTCTTATTATAAAATTCATGAAGCTATAACAATTTCTAAGGAGAGCAAATTATGTCATTGTTCAAACTGCATGAGGAAACGTGTACTAAGAGCTGGCAGTTGGCTAGGTAAGATAAAAATATCACTGTCCTGGTTCCAGCAGCATTTCCTGAAACCCAGTTCCAAATGCTGGTTTCTCGTGGCGCTCCCACACGTCCGGCTAAATAAACAGACTCCAGCGGGAGTGATGAATGGGACAGGTGAGGCGGACCCTCTTGAAATAGTTCGGTCTGAGGTGAGGCTGCCATACTTAGAGCCCTGTGTCCTGGCTTCTTCAGTGACCTCTTAACACGCATATTCAGTTGCACCTCCCTCGACAGGGGACCCCAGGTGGTGTGAGGTCACAGCCGCGAGGAAGGGAAGGCTTGGGTTTCTTCCACTGGCATCAGGTTTTGCTTGTAGTCTAATGTCATCCGTTACAGTCACATAATCATACACCTTAAACCACATGATCATTTAAACCTTAGATCTTCTGAGAATTGATTCTTTCCTTCCTTCCTTTTCTTCCTTCCTTCCTTCTTTCTTACGGTGCTCCTGGGGGAAGGAACACTTTACAAAGTAATGATTGAAAGGGGACGAAGTAATCCAGAGTAAGGATCTGGGCTCTGTGATGTCTGACATTACACAGCCCGTTCAGACTTGGCTATGTGTGCGCAGTCGCTCAGGCGTATCTGACTCTTTGCGACCCCATGGACTGCAGCCCACCAGGCTCCTCTGTCTGTGGAGTGTTCCAGGCAAGGATACTGGAGTGGGTTGCCATTTCCTTCTCCATAAGACTTTACTAGACTGCATGATTATGGGGGTGACAATTACCCTGGGGTTCCCAGACTGTGCAGCCCCAGTGGCAGATTCGTTCTAGAGGTGAAAGAGGTGAAGCCTTGATTCTTCATCACCTACTCTGCTGACACTTTTCCCGTGGCTGCTGTTATGCTGTATTCCCACTCAATGTTGCCCTGAAAGACAATGGTGAAGGGAAATCCTCCCAACTGGCTAATCCACCCATCCCAGCTTAGAAATGACAATGACTATCAATTGCATTTGTCTTTTCATTAGACTTTCATTTATACTATTTCTGATCTTTGGAATAACCATGCTATGTACCTATTAGTATTCTTAATTTGCAGAGACAAAGATTGAAGTCCAGAGGCCACACTGTTTATAAATAACAGAGTTATGATTTAAACTCACATCCCTGAACTGGACTGTTTAAACCCTCCCCATTATTCCAAGCTGCATCTCTAAGAAGAAAAAGAAAACTACATGTGTAGGGAGAAAGAGTCTGTAAGAACTCTCTGTACTTTCTACTCAATTTATCTATAAACCTAAAACTGCTCTAAAGAATAGAGTCTCTTGTTAAAAACAAAACAAAAAGAAAAACCAAACAAAAAAAAGAAAAGCTCCTTCTGTTTTTATGCATTTCATAAATGCAAGATTTTGAGGAATAACAAGTGCTTGACTGGCTGGCTCTCAAGACAGACACATGTAAACCCAAACTCCAGGGAGAAAGAAAATGTACAATTTTCTTCCTTGTGTTTGTGTTCCACATGAGTAAGACAAGTCCTGTTACAATCAACGACAAGTCCTGTTACAATCAACAGAGTTACAGAGAAAATGTAGTATATAAAGCTTGTTTGTTCTAAATAGTATGATTATGTCATAATTTGGAATGACACAAATAAATGTTCCCTCATTTTCATTTAAACAAAATTTAATTTCTGTACAGAAAAGAGCCAAGGAGAGGGGGCCCTTGCTGTCTGGGTTGCATGAATAGATTCTTCCTTGAAGTACAAGGTGTACAACTTGTAATTAATTTAGCACCATCTTTTGAGCACTGAGAATTCCTGCATACTTTTCATCAGTCAATTTTGATTGGTTTGTTCCAGTCTCTTTCAAATCTCCCAAGAATGTCCACTTCTGAAATTCATGTTTTTTTTTTTTTTTTATATGGAAGCTTCCAATAAGGGTTGTCATTTATTTCACTTAATTCCTGCCTTTTAACCCCTACAGAAGGATGCTCATGAAGTTTTATGAACAACCTTCTAAAATTAAATTTTGAAAAGGATCAATGCATTCCCATAGCTCTAGAAAAGGCACCTAACTAGAGAATCCAAGGCAGGAGCTAGAGTTCCCTGTTTCTCCATCTTTCTTAAAATAATCATCTGAGAGCACTCTTCAAAAATGTATGTCCCATGGCCCTACTCCTACTGCAGTAAGTTCCGACTGAAGTCCAGCAATCTGTATTTCCTATGCACCTGCAGTTACAAGTGTACAGAAAGATGCTTTGCAAACACTTGGGGCACTCCCTCCGAATTCTTGAGTAAGGAGTGTGCGGAGTGTCACACCACACAACACTTGCCATCTCATGCACTGTGCGTGCCTTTTGAATTCCAGCGCATGTGTTCTATAGACCACACATGTGGGGGGAAGCAAAGGAAAACATCTCATTTATAATAAGTGAGAAAACCAAGTAAATTTTAAAAAGTAATTCCATATTTTTGAATTTATTGTAGGGAGTAAGGAGAGTCCACGAGAAAAGTCACATCTTTGTCTGTTGACTTGTTCATTTCTCATGAGCCTAATTCAGTGCTTATTCCTCTAGTCAGCTTTTATTTTGCTTCATGTTTTTCTGAGACAATTTAGTGTAAAAGTTAAGGGCCTAGGGCTTTGGAACTAGTGAGGGGTCGTTTCCAGATTCATTTCCATCATGGTTTGTGTGATCTTGTGTAAGTCACTCAACTTTTCTGAACTTCAGTTTCCCATATGTGTCTAGTAATAACTCACAGAGTTATTGGAAGAATTAAATAACACTATATAGATAACGAGGGCTTCCCAGGTGGCTCAGTGGTAAAGAATACGCCTTCAGTGCAGGAGATGTGGGTTTGATCCCTGGGTGGGGAAGATCCCCTGGTGAAGGAAATGACAACCTACTTCTGTATTCTTGCCTGGGAAATCTCCCTGGACAGAGGAGCCTGGTGGGCTATAGTCCATGGGGTTGCAAAGAGTCAGACACGATTTACTGACTAAAGCAATAACAATAATATAGATAAAGCATTTAGCATCATGCTTGACATGAACTGAGGACTAAACTAGCCCCTGTGTTTGTGATGACTGATTCTGGAGTTAAAGCAAAGTGTAAACCACGAGGCAGCTTTGTATTTCCCCTACATCTCACACTTCTGCCGCTTGTCAAGGTAGGGTTTATAGGATGAATGAGCTGCAAATATTTAGCGACTCATTATCCACTTGGTGGATTGTGGGTGTCTCTGTTTCTGATCTTATTAATTAGCTGAGTTTTACTTAGTTTCTGTATTTCTAGCTCTCTGTCAAAGTCTGGTGGGCTCTGCAACAGAGAAGTACAATGAGATCTATGGGTTTTAAAAGGCAGAGAGATTTGGGGAAAAATCTGTCACCCAGAGCAGATCGGTACAGCTGTGTGATGTGATAATCATCCTGGGCTTGAAGCCTGGTAGGGTATAGAAAGAGAGTGTAGGAAAGATACCATTTCTGGAAACCAGGTATTAAAAAAAGGAAGCTCCACATCTTCTGGGGCTTCCCTGGTGGCTTAGCAGTAAAGAATGCGCCTACAATGCAGAAGATGTGGATTTGATCCCTGAGTGGGGAAGATCCCCTGGAGAAGGAAATGGCAACCCACTCCAGGTTCTTCCCTAGGATAATCCCAGGGACAGAGGAGTCTAGTAGGCTATTGTCCAGGGGGTTGCAAAGAGTCGGACATGACTTAGTGACTAAACAACAATAACAACACATCTTTTTAACAATTCTTCTTTTCTCCTTCAGACAGAAATCATGAGCAAAACCTAAGTCAGGAAGAGCACAGTTTGTTCAGGAAATTCTTAAACTCTCTTCAACTGGAGCAGAGGTCTGAACTATGGAAGTGTAACCTGACATTTACCAAGCCCCTGTCTGAGCTGGGCGTTTTGCTGGGGTCTTGTGTAGAAAGTTTGATTGCAGTTCAGTTCAGCCGCTCACTTTGTTTTAGATAGTAGTAAATTAGCATTACCAAGTCAATCTTCAGAGTGCAATGAAAGAATTTGTTTTGATCAGAAGCAGCAGAGTGTCAAGAATTCTTGAGCAAGGGAGTAATATGATGAAAATGGTAAGCGTTCAGTTGAAATAGCCTGGAATGTGAGGATATGAGAGAATGGAAGAGGCTTCTTATCATGGCACACAGATAAAGTGGTGAAAGCCTGGATTAGAGAATGGGATGGGATGACTGAATTCAGAGTACATTTTGAAGGAAGGGTTGGAAAGACTTGGTGACAGACTGGCCTGGGAGATGGGGAACTGATCATTGATAGCAAAATGAGCCACAAGTCTCCAAAAAGACTATGGACCTCCAAGGAGTTAAATAAAGGAAGTGCGTTTTTAGGGGAAAAAATAAATACCTTTTAAAATACAATCACCATTTCTAGCCTAACATTAGAATGCTTTATTAAGTAACATTTAGCTAACCTTAACTCTCAGAGGCAGCAAGGCCTGTCTTTCTTTTTTTCTTTTTTTTTTAAAGAATATATTTCATTGGAACGTCCCTGGCAGTCCAGTGGTTAAGACTTTGTCTTCCAATGCAGGAGGTGAA